TATGGCTTTTCAAGAGCCATTATTATACAAAGCACCATAATCATGACCAGGCCCTCCTATGACGTTATTGTTTCCTATCTGCCAGGACATTAATTGCTTCTAACTTGCTCTAAAATTGGTAGTGCAGCACACTGTCAAGACTAGAGAGAAGAAAGCTGCCAGTGACATATTAAATGGCTGTGTAAAAGGACATATGGGGCATCTTCACATTTGCATGTTACTTCATTTGTTATGGGGTGTTAGCACAGGCCTTCTGTCTTGACTTCTATCTTATTGTGGTCAGTGCTTAATCTTTCCTTCCACTAAATGTTTCAGATGCCTCTGAGGTTATTTTGGCATTTCCATTTTCCTTTTGCAGATTTTTTTTTTTTTGAGTCACTGAATTGAATGGGAGGTTATTTCTAAATTAGAAGGTGAGGATGAGAGAAGAGGAAGGAAAGCTCCAGAAAATAACTAGGAAAAGACACTTTTATGTGTACTTACTGGAGGAATAATTTCCACTTAGTTTGGTGACAGAAGTGTGTAGTTTATTTAAACTTGACTAAAAATTTAGGCTAGAAAACAGACCCCCTCCCATAACAAACATACAGTTTCAGACTCATCGAAGCTTGCTCTGCAAAGGACGAGAGGTTAGTAAATAGAAGAGATATGGGACAAAGAGTTAGCAGGAAGAAGATGGAGGCAAAGTACAAAATTTCCAAAGTCCAGAGTCGGTCCCACAGGAAGTTCCCAATCATAAAAGTGGTGCTTGTGAAGAGAGTCCCTCTTCAACAGTGTCCCAAACATGCCTGTACCGTATCCACATTTCATGGCCCATGGGTTTGCATATTGTGGGTGGAGTTGTGAGGAAGGTATATTTAAATCTGATTTAGAAATTCAAAGAGTAATTAGGCCAATACTTTTTCCTAGCATTTTCTTATTTAGGAACAGGAAACGTGGGTGGAAATGAAGTTAAAAAAATGAATGATGGATATATTTCTAGGAGCATGAGAGTTTTTATAGCAATACCAGATTTCTCAAAAATGCCTACTGTGATTTCTACCTAAATGAGTAAAAATGCAATCATTTATTTTTGTGCATTGTGCCAAGTGAGAAAAAAAATCCCCACAATTCATTCATGGCTCTAATTTAGACTGCTAGGAAGAGTTTAGGTGTAAAAAAAAAAGAGAGAGAGAGAAAAGAAAAGAAAACAGAAAAGACGAGCATTTAAAGTATCTGACACACAGCTAATAGAGCTATTTAAGAATTGCTGAACATAAAAACCAAGCAGGGGAGGGAGGAGGTTGGAAGCGGAAGTCTCATTTTCAGAGCATCACAAGGGTAAAATGTGGCCCGTTCATTCAAAACTTGTTGATTATTATCTGCTCTCTGGTTATTTGGCAGAGGCCAGCCAGGAGTGGGTCTGCAAACTGAACTCTCTACACCACACTTAAGTTTATTGACGATGTATGTATTGCAACTGAAGTGGAACGATTGCTACTAAAGGACTGGTTTGATTTTTTTAGCATTTAGACTCCCGGAAAGAACTTCAAAGAAATTGGGTGTATTGAAAACTCACAAAAAGAAAGGGAAATGTTTATTTATATGGTACCTTTCTCCCAAGGAGTTAGAAATAAACACAATGTTTGATGTTGGTGTTTCACAGGTGTTACTAATATGAATAAGCTGACATAGATTAGCTTCAGCTTGTAGGAAGGGAGCTGTAAAAAGAGAAGAGTTTACAGCGTGTGCTCCACAACAAAGAGTCAACCCCTTCCCCGGTAACCTCAGATGCGAGCTTCTGCCTCTTTTTAGCTTTCTACGGCTCAACCAAACTGTGCAAGCTGGAAACAACTGCGGCCGTCACAGCCCTTGCAGGTTAATTTAACAGACACTTCCAGCAGCCTATCATAACTTCGGACAGGACAGTCATCAACCAATTGCAACTAAAGCTTGGTCTAGGTCGTTCCAGGTCCAGGCGGGTGCGAATACCCGGTCCAGGAAAAGGGGAGGCAAAGAGGCGATGACTGGCAGGTGAATTAAGCCAATCAGAGCAAAGAGCCGCCGTCCCATTGTCCAATGGATAGGTCCTAAGTATGATATAGGGTGGGCCTGTTGTCATGGGGGAGGTGGTGGCACTTGGTGGCTACTGGCGGCCGAGGTAGAGGCAAAGGCGTTGGAGTTGGTCGTAGGCAGTGGCAGGTGAGTTCCGTAACGCGGCCCTGAGGGCTGGAGGCCGTCGCGGGGCGGAAATTGCAGCTCTGCGCTGTGGAGGTGGCGGCCGGAGGAAGGGGGCGGCCTGGGCCAGGTCGGGGCCAGGCCAGGGCGGAGGCGGCGATGAGTTCGCTCTGACTGGGTTGGTGGGAGAATGGCCCGGTTCCTGGCTGCAGAGTTCCCGCTGGGAAGG